TGGGCCTAGAAATTTTGGAAAAGTGTAACAGTGAGATTGAGCGATAGTAAGATGTATGAGATTTCAAACTTGGAAAAATACTCTTTACACCGGACGTAAATTTAATATACCAGACAACAAGGAGAGATTTTCTAGATGCCAACAACGAAAACTTATCATAAAATCAGGCATCTGAAGCTTACGCACACGGCGAATGAGAACGAACCAAATTTGAGTTTACTCAACTCATAAATCACATAATTTGCAGGAACTCAGCGATGAGTAAATTTGCCTCAGGTTTTTCCAGAGAAAAATTTCCGAATTTTAGAAAAGTAAAGATTGGATTCATTCAGTCTATTGGTACTACTCCGAGACTGAATAAAATTTTCGTCAATTTCCTCATTTTCCGGCAGATTTTATAGGTTTTCCATAGTAAACCATGAGACAAATTTACTCATCGCTGAGTTCCTGCACTTTTGGCGATTATGAGTGAACTAAACTCAAACGTTCTCATTCGCCGTGCATTGTTTAGGATTTTCACTGGAATCATTTAGGAAAATTTATCACGATTTTGTCCTTGACAAATGTTTGAGCCTGTGGGACATTCCTAATTTATTGTTATTTGTCTCATCCCGTACTAAGATTTTTCCTTAGTACAGGATGAGAAAATTAAATATTCAAGATTTTAAGAGAATTATTCGAGAAAATAGATGTTGATCAAGGACATTTTAAAGGAAATTTAGAAGAGGAATTTAAGCAAACTACCGCGATAGTGGTTGACAATACGAGGACACTTGCAGAGTGAATTCAAGAGCTTCCTGAAGAGAAATCCAAAAATTTTCTAAAGAGAATCCTGAGACTGTTTTGGTGAAACATTCAATGGAATACCGGAAATAATCATAACTTGTGGAGAAGAATCTTGAGTGTAACTTTTAGACATTGTGGGATAATTCTAACGAAATTATTTAGGAAATTTTTAACCACAATTTTACCTGGTGACTCACTTTCCGCCAGGTGCTTCCAAAAATTTAATATTTTGTAATCGTAAAATTGAACATATTTTTAGTTCTTTGGCGAACGTTTCAGCTCAATTGATCATAAGTTAACAAAGTTACATCATGTCAAAGTTTACGATTTTGTATGAAAATCGGCATGCGCTGCTATTTTATCGAACACAACTGTAGAAGATTTAAAAAATAAATAAAGCATCCTGATTAAAGTTTAATACGTGAATCTACAGTTAATTTAATACGCTTTACTGGTTTAATTAGTGAGTTGATTATAAAGATCGTCATTTATTAATATGCATCATTTTTTATAGTTGCTGCAGTTGCTAATTTTGTTTCCTACAATAGAGGAAATCACCATCACTATCGCAATTACAGGGATGTTGTAAAATCTTCAAAATTTGATCCGCAAAATCCGTGATTTCGCAAAAGAAATCCACGACTTCAAAGACTCATTCATTGTTTAAAAACACCATTTGTATTACTACATGTAGCATTTCAAGCTTATTGCTCTCAACTTAGTGTTTTTGAAGCGTATTAAAAAGAGTTTTGAGGAAATTTTTTAGGCAATTCCAACGAAAATTGAATTCTTAATTACCAGGATAGATCTACAAAACATTTGAGGAAGATTTCAAAGGAAGTTTGAGGAGTATTTTTTTTAGAAAATTTAAAAGAGATTCCCAAGGAAATTATGAGGAGCACTTCAAAGACTTAATGGGAATTCTGAGCATAACAAAAAAGAAATTTCTATGGTAATCTCGAGGAATACTAAGTGCATACTGAGGAGAACCCCAATAAAATTTGTATGGTTCAGGGTGGCAAGTGAATTTCCATTTTGAAATTCCTGGTTTTTTCTGGTTTTTCTGGTCAATGATTTAAAAATTTCCTGGTTTTAAAAACCATGTATTTAAAAAACAAATTTTAATAAAAAAAATAAAGTGAATCCTTGTACCATCATTTTTTGCGCAATGCGGAATTTCACAAACCAAAATAGGTATTAAGGTTGTTGTGGATGCCCGTGAAATCTTTATCTGATTGTTTGCTGTAAAGTTGTTGTAGGGAGCCGCGCTACTTCGTGGTATCATGGCGCCTATTTCCGTTCTATGTGCTAAAACTATAATAGCAAAGCGTTTTCATTCATGTTTTTGCAAAAACATCTTTGCTTACAAGATTAATTACGATTGACACTGAAACATTTGCGATAACCCGTAAAATGAGCGATTTAAGTGTGACGAAGAAAAGCTGCGATACGACGGACTAGCGCGGAGCCCTATCTAATGTCTGAAATTTAGAGATCTCTGTTGATTTCTGTTTTTGAAACTGCGATTTTTTTTAACTTTATTATTGAGATTTTTAGCCAACGGGCTAGTTTATCTCAAGGTGAAATTGCGAAGTGTGATATAAATGAGGAATCTTTAAACAAACCTTTGCTTTTAATAATTTTACGGATTTCCAGTTTGTTTAAATTTTCCGCAAATTGTCAACGATTAAGGATCTTATTTAGCGGAATTTTGATTACAACATGATTTCAAAATCATATGATTAAAAGATTTCATAAACAACACTGGTTTAATAACTCTTATTATTAAAAATACTGACTGCTGAAGTTCATAGAAACTCCCTGAAGCGTTAAGGTCTTTCCTGAATGGTTCATTGAAGTTTGTATTGCCTGAATTTCATGAGACTCCCCCGAAGTTCGAAGGAATTTTTTTTTAAGATCTTAGGACTTCCCTGAAGTTTAGAGTTTTTTGAAATTCATAGGAATTTCTTAAATATCGTAGAAGTACCAGGAAGTTCGTAGCAATTCTCAGAAGTTCGAAGAACTTTCTCGAAGATCTGAGGACTTCCCTGAAGTTTGAAGGACTTAACTGAAAATATGAGGACCCTAAATTTAGAAGAGCTTCCCTGAAGTTCATAAGGCTCGAAGGATTTTTCAAAAGTTTGTGGGTCTTTCCTTAATTTCTTGGAAATTCCCTGAAGTTTGGAGAGTTCCCATGAACTTCGTAGGACTAACTATAGTTCAATCGACTTCTCGGAAGTTCTAGGAACTTTTTTGAGCTTGGAGAACTATGTTAAGTTCAGAGGACTTCCCAAGAGTATTGAAGACTTCTCTGAAGCTCGGAAAAAATCCATAAGTGTCATAGGATTATCCTGAAGTTTTAAGCAATGCCTAAGTGTCGTAGAAGTTACATTAAATCTGTAGAAAATTATGTAAAATTCGTAGTTATTCCCCAAAGATTAAAGGACTTCCCTGAAGTTCGTAAGACTTCTCTGAAATTTGTAGAACTTCTCTGAAGGTTCGGAGAGATTTCCTGACCGTCGTAGGTCATCACAGTAGTTCACAGGATTTTCCTGAAACTTGTAAGACTTTCCCGAATTTTGTAGAACTTGCATGAAGTTCGAAGGCCTTATCTGAAGTTTTTAGAAATAGAACTTTTTTATTGAACATGTTGAACAGGTACTTCAAAGGTACTACGCGTCGCCACTGCTTAAGTCTGATTCGAGAAAAAAATTAAATTAAAAATAAATACAAAATTTATTCACTAAATTCTCAGGGTAAATTTTTTTCATCAATGTTTAGTTTAGTGAAAGATTTAGCTGGAACAAAATGGTTAGTTTTGACCTGATTATAAAAAAGTAACTTTGACATACATAAAATTTAAAACCTATGTAAATTATACATACAAGATTTTTTTCCTGGTGGACTTATGAAATTCCTGGTTTTTTCCCGGGTTTTCCTAGTGAAAATAAATTCCCGACTTTTTCCCGGTTTTTCTGGTTTTCCTGGTTCACCACCCTGATGGTTATTTGCTTAACGACGTGTTCAGGGTGAAATCTAAACCATTTGTGGAATAGTTCAATCATTTCGGTTATCATTCAAGTATGATATTTTTAATTGATTGTTACAGGATTATTTTTCAGAGAATAGCTAGAATTATTAATAATATGAGGAGCATTGCAGAGTGAATTCAAGCGTATTATGAAGGAAATTATAAAAGATTTTAATTTTTTCACAATTGGACACAGAAAACGGACAAGATTCAAGATTTGGGAAAAACAAAGGAAATCCTGAGGCTAAGATTTTTAAAGATTTCATGCTTAAAAAATTGGGATTAAGTTTTCAAGTTCCAAAACTTCCAAAAATATTTGAAACGCCGAACTTTATTTAGGTTGCGAACTTGAAATTCATCAAATAGCTGAGATTTCATTCTTATTATTCTGGGATTTTGGAACTTTGAAAAATTTCTATGTAGATCTCATGGTGATCAGTGAAATACGATTAGCAATTTTCAGGTTTTCCGTAATTTCGGAAATTTGTCCGGTTGTGCGATGTACATTACAATGAAGAATAAAACCGGAAGCCGAAAGGATCACTAGGTTAAATGAATCATTACTAAGACAGCAGCGTTTTTCATGGGTCAAATTCGGACCTGTTTTCGAATTCTTCAAAATTTGCCTATATTTTAACTTCCCTGACATATTAATCCAAAATTTTTCACAGGATTTTATTAGAATGTTCTCAAACATTTCATTTGAACCTTTTCCTGCGCTTATTTTAGAATAAATCTTCTAAAATAAGATTGAGATTCTCGATTCTCTCTGACAGTCCGTAAACAAATTATTTATAAGTCTATAAATTCTCTGCAGATCCATCAACAAAAAAACATGAAATTCATTCTTAGATTTTCTTCGAATTTTAAAGTTTTTTCTAGGAATTTACTGAAGATTCCTGCTATAATTCTTTTCAAAATTAGCATTAATTGTCTTCTGAATTCTCAAAAAAAAAACTCACTTCAGAATTGTATTGAAATTTTATTATTTCCCGGCTCACGGTTTTCCCTGTTCGCTGGCCACCCTGTTAATGTTTTTAATGCAGTTATTAATAAAGATTGAGAAATATTTCCCTAAATTCAAAGAAAATGGGGATTTCAAAATTTTTTTGAGATAGGCCTTAAAATCGCTCAAAACCCCCACAAACCCTTATGTTCAGAAAAAGAAAAATACAAAACTTACCTTAACTGCAATCTGGCAGCTCTGCAATCAGAACAATCGGAAACACTTATTACAACGTTCCAACTTAGCCGCTGCCGTGGTTCTCTCCGAGTGCCACCAGCGCCACACCATACACGACAGACATCAGGCAGGCAGAATCAGACAAGACGAACTTAAAACATGGATGTTGCGTTGTGTTGTGTGTGGATAAAGGAAAACGCAACAGCAACGATGAGGGCAGCTAATGTGAATATACCCACTGAACTGAACCGAAGAAGAAGCACATACAGAGCCGAAACCTAAACGCCGATCTTCCCAGTAGAACGCACCAGCACCAGCACCAGCTACAACAACAACAACAACAACAACAACAACTTGAGATTTAGATTCCGATAAAATAAATGTAGCTGGTGGTGTTCATGTTCCAGGAATCACTGAACAGGAATGTCGCGCATATGCTCTGTTTAATCGCTTGCGGATACACCACTAATTTTTGTTCTTTTCTCTGCGTTCACTTAGAATTGATAGTGAACATTCTTTCGCAATTCACCGTACACTTATTTCGTTGCCTTTCTTATGTTTTAAGTCCAAAAATTTGACACAAATGCAGCAAAGTTGAAACTTACACGAATTTCCCTTCCAGCAACAGGTTACTTGATTCCCGAGGCTTCTTTGTTTATGCTCATTTGTTATTAAATGAACGTCTCAGACACTCTTCGAGGTTTTTGAATGTTTCTTCGAGCACAAAATTCGTAGACACAGACACTGTTCAACTTGCGGATTGATCACCAATTCAAAGAACCAAGACTTCACAAATAAAATGCATTCACGAATAACAGTGGAAACAGTCTCTTCGACACTTTAGTTTGTTCATGTGTTCTGGATTTTCACAATCCCAGTTTCCGTAGCTTAACAACATCCGTACAAATCACGGTTTTAGCTCAACGAAACAAACACGCAACGGATGGCGGCGCGACTGGGGATAACTATACACCGTGGGGGTTATCCGCCGCGTATGATAGACCGTATAGAGGAGGCCTGCCTTCTTTATTCACTCTGTCCCGCAGCAAGAACACACCGTTCAGCAACAACAATACACATCACACATACTCGGCTCGGCGGGGCTACTTCCAGCGCGCTTGTTGTTCATCCAGCAACGTGAAGAGTAGAGGATCATTCACCACTAAGGTCCACACCCACAGTATTGGATAGATTGAGTCGAGCTCTCGAACCAGCCAACCTCGCGTCACAACATTCTCCAGCAAACTGACTCAACTGTGTCCGTGTTGTGTTGGGGTCTACGAAGGGAGAAAGAAAGAAGCTGAATAAACATCCAAACAGTAGTGGTAGTAATATTAATAATGATATTCAGCGATTGTACGCATACATTTGTGGTGCGCATGTATTTGCACAATGGGTTAAAGTTGTTAAAAACATACATTGTTTCAACATATCCATGAATTTGATGTTATAGGGGAAATGGTTCTAATTGGCCTATGGATCTAAGATTGGGCCCATCGCTAAAAATCTGTTATTTATCAATTTTATCTAGATGAACGCGTCATTGGAACGGTACAAATGGATATTTTTGGTCACTATTGAAAATTTAGTCGATTGCTGAATTTATGTATGGGCCCAAATTAGGGGCATTTAGGGCGACATTACATCCATTTCCCCTATTATTTATAATTTCAACAATTGAAAATTAATTTCACCAATTCAGTGCCAATATTTCAAAGGGGCTTAATTGCATTTGTAAACAATGGCGTTAGCCGTCGATTTCTCGTAAATAAAAGCTTACTCATGAAGATTAATGACACCAACAGGTTTTGTTTCCTTTACCAGCTAGCTTTGTTAATTTGAAGGGATGCGCTTTTATTTGGGAGAAATCGACAGCTAAAGTCATTGTTTACAAAAGCAATTACGCTCTTTTGAAATGTTGGCACTGAAGTGAGCAGTTCCAGGCCAAATAGCGAAACAAATGTTTGTCTCGATCATCTCCAATTTACATGAAACTTTGCATAATCGTTTGTCATAGACATTCACATATTTGTTAAAATACGGCCATTTTGGAACTTGAAATATTTTTAAATGGCGTCTTTACTATTTTTCAAAAATGTGTAGCACGTAAACGTCACTTCTGATTGAAATGACGTCGGAGACAAAGTTGTATAGATAAAAAATAAAGTATTCATGGGAAAGATATATACGCTTACTTCAGCGTACTCACCGGGTGAGTCAATCGTACCCAATTTCGTCTGATGCACTAGGTTGTCAAAATCTGAGTAAACTAGAAAAGTCAAACTGAGCAAACCACTCAGTCAGCCAAATCCGGTACTTAGAACAAATGCCAGCCGTGTCGGAGCAAGCGCTCTAATACCATAGAGGTAACTCTAATACCAACAATCAATACGAAACTAACGATTTTAAATTGGCTCACCACTTTAGTAGCCTATTGGTCCCAAGCAAACGATTAACGTACCCTATTCTAGTTGAAATTCTATTACTACACTATGTTTGTTTTGATTCGCTATGAAAGTTTGACAGATAACATCAGGGGTGTGTGGATTCATGCAGAACATGCAGGGGTGAGTGAAATAGCTTGGGACTGCTTGGGACCGTTGTTCTGGTATTGAGTGAGCCAAAAATAATAATGATTTTCTTCGGGACCCAGTGGTCTTAGAGTTACCTCTATGCTAATACCCCGTACAGACTATGGCTTATATCTTGTAATATAGGCTGTCTTGCAATGAGCACTCATACATCTAGTTTTCACTGGAAATCCTAGGTATGAGTGCTCATTGCAAGACAGCTTATATTACATGATATAAGTCATAGTCTGTCCGGGGTATAAGACCAGAAGGTCTCGAAATAACGTGCTCAACTTTTTGGCTTTGGCAACTTTGGCAGCTCTGGTACTCTCTTCGGTCCCAAGCTAATCGATTCACCCCTCGAAACACAGGAAAATCCACAAACCCCTCATTCTATCTGTCAAACTTTCATAGCGAATCAAAACAAACATAGTGTAGTACTAGCATTTCGACTAGAATGGGATACGTTAATCGTTTGCTTGGGACCAATAGGCTAGTCAAGTAGTGAGCCATTTTAAAATCGTTAGTTTCGTATTGATTGTTGCTAATACCCCGTTCACATTACAGCGTATATCACGTGATGTACGCTGTCTTGCAATGAGCATTCATACATCTAGTTTTCACTGGAAATCCTATATATGAGTGCTCATTGCAAGACAGCCTATATTACGTGATATAGACTGTAATGTGAACGTGGTATAAGAAATGGCGAAATTATTATAACACCGGCCGAAATGAATTAAGGTAAATATGAATTGCATGCTTAGACCGTTTTCAGTCATCTTCAGCTCCAGTTAAATGAACCTGGAGCAGGTAATTTCCATTTTTTACCAAAACAAATAAAAATAAAGAAACTTCCCAGCTGAAAATATCACAGAGTGGTTTTGACTAACTCTGCGCGAGAACGTTGTTTACTCAAAAGTGAGTAAAAATACACCTACTCACTTTTGAGTAGCCATACTTCCCGCTGAAATGAGCATGTTCGACTCCATGTTGAGTTGTTGCGAGTTACCTAGACCAGCTAGACCAGCGTTTCTCAATCTATGGTTCGCGACCCACTGGTGGGTCGCTGGCTGCCGTCCGGTGGGTCGCATAAATGTAGACAACTTGGGGTCTTTTTTTTTCAATGACAACCCGTTTTATTCAGCATTGTACACTGTTATAAAGCATTTATTCAATCTATATGTTTATTTGTGATTCTAAATTGTTTGTTGCGTTCTTCCGAAGCGTTTTCGAACTCGATCAAACTCCTCCGCAGCAGCAGTACAACGACCAGTTACCGAACTACACCATTCGTCTGCAGCAGCTTAACTTCAGCCATGACGCTATTTTCAAAACCTCTTTGCTCGGTGGACGCATCGAATGGCCCATAGGTCCGGATCGTATTCCATCATCTTTCATCAAGAATTGTGCAGCATCGTTGGTTACACCCAGGGTGCCTTCCATTCATTTTGACTAAAAAAATGTTTTATGAAATTATGGAATAATAAGATAATATGATGATATTTTGTATGTGTAGGTAATAAGAAAAGATTGTTAAGTTTGTGTTTGACACATCAAACCTGCAAATTTAGCTTTGACAGAGTCACAATGAGCGTTTTTCTGATCGCCTCTTCGCGAAGAGTGAAGAGCGAAGAGTGGGTGAGATAAATTACAAAATCGCTTATCGCGACTCTCATGTAGCAAAATTGGCAGGTATTATGTGTCAAATACAAACTTTACAATCTTTTCTTGTTGTTTACACAATCAAAATATTTTCATAATATCTTATTATTCCATAATTTCTTTAAACATTTTTTGAGTCAAAATGAATGGAAGGCACCCTGGTTACACCCGTTATGTCTATCTTCAATCGTTCACTCCTGGATGGCACTTTTTCGGTTTCCTGAAGGCTTGCATCAATTACACTGATCTTCAAGTTAGGAAACATTCACAGCGTTGAAAACTACCGGCTTATCTCGATCCTTAATTGTTTGGCCAAAGTTCTTGAAAGTCTTGTGCATGACAAGTTGTATCCAGCTGTGCAATCTATAATCTCGGAGTTTCAACATGGATTCAGAAAAAAGCGCTCAACGATCTCTAACTTGATGTCCTACATCAACACTCTTATTGCTGGCATAAAAAAGCATCTGCAAGTAGACGCCGTTTACATTGACTTCTCTAAGGCTTTCGATAAAACTGAGCCGCCTTGGTCTTCGGCCGTGGGTCGTTCACTGGTTAAAATCATATTTATCCTCCAGGAATCTACCATCGAGAGTTCCACAAGTGAGCCACTTAGGACCTCTTATTTTCGTTTTATTTATTAATGACGTGTGTGACCACTTAAGTTCCAGTAAGTTGTTATATGCTGTTGATTTTAAAGTCTACCGTGTGATCAAATCGATCCTAGATTGTTGTGCTCTACAAACTGACATTGAGCGGTTAACATGCTGCAATTACGGCCTCCACACGCTTCCGGACTGCACGGCAGGTTTTAATAATGTAATCTGGATCCATTTCTCTCCAGGCACGGGTCAATGTTTGTCTGAGGCTTGCTGTTCTCGGGTGGCGTTTAGAACAGGCCTTGGCCTTCATGACGCGCCATATTGAGTAATCCAGTGGATTAAGATCGGGGCTGGATGGCGGCCACATATCCTTCGCCCAGAACGGAAGATGTTCCTGCAACCACTTCTGAGTGCGGTTCGAGGTGTGGCACGGAGCCCCATCTTGTTGAAGTACAACATTTGGCTTCGGACCGTACTGTTCACGGAAGAACATACTTACTTAAAATCCCGATGTAGACCTCCGTGTTGACCTTGTCGCCTGCTGGAATGAACACCGGGTCAATTTTTTTGCCATCGGAAGCCACCAATCCAAACACCATGACGCTAGCAGGATGCTTGGTCAGATACACGTTCGTGTGCTCGTCGGTCACTTCTTTTACCGGAAGAGAACTAATATACCGGTCGGTTCTGGAATTTGATATGGGATCGACGGTAAAAATTCTCTCGTCAGTGAACCGGATTACCGGATTTTTTCGCTTAAGGAAGTTCAAGATTTTCTTACATCGTTCGACTCGTAACTCCCGGATGCGGTTGGTAATCATGTGAGTTTTTTTCCGTGCCCTCGACTTCGCCCCGCAATCTTCCTTTACGATCTTCCGTGCCGTAAAGTCACTGATCCCGTGTTCCTTTGCCATTTTCCTTATTGAACGCACTGGATTCACCCGAATCTTCCTTTTGATAGCAGCGATAACCCTCGGAACCCGAGCTGACCTCGGACGACCTGTGGCCACCTTCGCGGATAGTTGTCCTTTCTTTTCTCGGTCTAAAACCCTTTTGACGGTCCACCGGGACACTCCCACGGCGATTAAAATGTCTTTTTCCGACATTTGCATGTGGGACAAATCACGAATACGCTGCCACTTCGTCATGGTGCAACTGTCAAGCTAAGTAAATCATTTTCTTTTATACACAAACTACTACGGTATGAGCTATAGGCTACGTGCATGCAAAAAAAACTAAAGCATTGCATGCACAGGTGAAACGGGAACCTTATTTGTACGATGGTGCAAACATTATCACGCATACAGTACAAGACGCTAATTAGACAGGTGGTCCTCTACGGCCACGAGACCTAGACTATGTTTGGTATTTTCGAACGGAAGGTGTTGCGGACCATCTAC